CCCCCCCCCCCCCCCCCCCCCGTAATTTACTCAACTAAGGCCATGTTCACCTCACCTGATGTGATTGGTTCTGATCTGATTGGAATAAGATCTGATCTGGTCTGAGCTGAATGTAGTTATATATAAAGTTATTTCTAATCTGATCTGGTCTAATCTGATTCCAATAAGAATAAGTAATAAGTAAAAAAGTAAGTTTAGGAGAACATGACCTAAATAAAAGTTTAGTAAGACATTCTTCTATTTTGTTTACCTAATTCCTTGTTGCTTCAAAATGTGGTGAACATTGCCTTTTGATAACTGGCTATGCACTTATAATCATTTATGTTTTATAGGGGAGACGTTGGAGTGATGGACTTCATCAGGCAGTTGAAGCAAAAGAAGGTTTACCTATCCAGAATGAGACTGTAACGTTGGCTTCAATAAGTTACCAGAACTTCTTTCTCCAGGTTGAGATTCTGTCTTTGTTAGTTACATTCTTTTCTATAATTTCCAATTGCCAGTGCATTTTTCTCTAGTTGATGCTATGTTTCAAAACATTTTAATTTGATATGATTTATAGTTTCCAAAGCTCTGTGGCATGACTGGCACTGCTGCAACAGAAAGTGCAGAGTTTGAGAGCATATACAACCTGAAGGTTACAATTGTCCCCACAAACAAGCCCATGATTAGGAAGGTTAGCTCTAAACTTGCCTTATTGGTCAGGTGATGAAATATTGAAGTTTAAAACATTGCAAAAAGGGGATCTGGAAGGATCTACTAAAAAGCAGTTGTAGGTAAAAAAAAAATCATTTAGGCTCTAACTGTTGTTTTTTTACATTAGATACAACTTACAATTAGGCTACAAGTGGAAATATGGAAGTTAAATTCCCATCATTTTTCTTCCAGTTGAGACCAACAAAATTAGTTGGATTTTGTGTAACGTTGTACTGCACTACTGCCTAATACTTATCCAGTTGAATCACATCCTGAAGTTTCATTATGTTTCAAAGAAACAGTACCAGATTTCCTCACTTCTACGGATCAAATTGTCCACATTGCTCTTTAGTACTTCATGAGTCATTATTTGAATAAACACAGGCTGGGATGCTTAGGTCAAACAAATTAATGTCAGAATGCTATTCATGGACGACTCTGTTCCACATTTAGTGGTGGACTGGGGATGGCTTAGTCCAATTGGACAGAGATGACCACTTCCGCCAAAGCCTAGTCCACCGAGGCTGACTTCTCCCACCTGAAGTTGCTGATTCTCCATTTACGTTCTAAGAAACATGCATGTATCTTTACATTTATTAACCATATTTTTGTACACACAATTTAATAAAAGAGGCTTCAGCTCTGATAATGTATGTTCATGACTTCATGCTACAATAAACTACTGCAGAAAAAAATAAAGACGCCATCAGTTTTCTTTTGTGCTATCTACCTTTCATTCTTTGTGTTTTGTGTTCTGTCCTATCAAATTCCAACATGATGCATGTTTGATAGTGAAATGCAGTTTGAACTTTATAAGCCCAGCAAAGTATGTGTATTAGGAGGATTGCATGCTTACGTGTCTAACATCAGAGTGGAATTGAGGCTTTACTCATATATATTACAGTTCGCTTGCATCTGTACATCAAGTATGGCTCAAATTAGTTGCTCTTTAAGTCTTTTTGATATTAATGCTTATTAATCTTTTCCTGCCAGGATGAGTCAGATGTAGTGTTTAGGGCAACCACAGGAAAGTGGAGGGCTGTGGTTGTGGAGATTTCTAGAATGCATAAAATAGGCCGGCCTGTGCTTGTTGGTACAACCAGTGTTGAACAAAGTGACACGTTGTCAAAACAACTGCGGGATGCTGGAATCCCGCACGAGGTGAGTTCCACGGCACTGCCAACTTGACTACGAGGGGTTTTCTAACAGTTGACTAAAGTCTAAAGTTATTCAAATGTTAACTGGGTAAGGTGCTCAATGCAAAGCCTGAGAATGTAGAAAGAGAAGCTGAAATTGTGGCACAGAGTGGCCGTCTAGGGGCAGTTACAATTGCCACTAACATGGCAGGACGTGGTACTGATATTATCCTTGGTGGCAATGCAGAGTTCATGGCTAGATTGAAGTTAAGAGAGATGTTAATGCCAAGGTATCTTGTAATATTCTTTTGTTTGCTGTTTTAGTAGTAGGTATAGTAATGGTAGTCTTTATTGTTGTTGTTAGTGTTATCATCATCATCATCGCCATCAACTCATCATCATCATCGTCATTGTCATTATCATCGTCATAATTTTTGCTCAACTAACTGCTAGTATTTTTGCTCAACTAACTGAGTAACTGCTAGAGGTAAGGTCTGCGTAAACTCACCCCCAGACTCGGCCTGTGGGATTTTACTGGATGAGTTGTTTTATGATAGAAATGGGCATGGGATCTTTGTAGTTAGGCTCAGCTAGATTAGTGTGAGGGCTTGGCTGTACTCACTAAAACTGGTGATATAATGGAAATTTAATAGGCATTGAAGTGTGCGGTCTAATTCTTGAGCTGCATCCAAATCTGGTGTCACTTCACGTCAAAGTAAAGGAAAAAAAGCAATTATACAATCCACTTTATTCCTTGCCCATGTCTTTTAATTTGATAGAATACTATACCAATGTGGGAATGTTAAAAAATTGTAACTTGTGACCCCTATTAGAAAGTTAGAATCTTGGAATATTAAATGCTTTCTGAATGGAATCAATGCTACAGAGTTGTTAAACCAGCAGAAGGGGCATCTATTTCCATAAAGAAACCTCCTCCAGTAAAGACATGGAAGGTCAGCCTGAGTTTGATTTTCTTTAACTACCACGCTTATGTATGTCATTTTAGGTATTTTGGGTCTGAATGCGAGTGGCTAATTGCAGGTGAATGAAAGTCTATTTCCATGTAAGTTATCTAAAGAAATTTATAAGCTAGCTGAGGAAACTGTGCAACTAGCTATAAAAATATGGGGCCCAAGATCCTTGACTGAACTTGAAGCAGAGGAGCGACTGTCTTATTCCTGTGAAAAGGTGAAGTTCATTGAGCACATTGATTGTTAATTATGACATATGAAGGGATTACCGTTGGTAAATACCCAAGATATTCTCTTATAAGACAAATTAATGCTATTGGACCACACTCTTATAAATGGGAATTATGTTGCAGGGACCTGTGCAAGATGAAGTAATATCAAAACTTCGTTGTGCTTTCCTGGAAATTAAAAGCGAGTTTAAATTTTATACAGATGAAGAGAAACAAAAGGCAATTTTCTTCCCTCAGCTCCCTCTGTTAATAATATGTGCTGTTTGCTTTCTAATGTTATGGAGAGAACCCTGTGTACCTTTGTCTCTTACTCTGGGCACGTCTTCTCTATCCGTGGAATCCACTCCCTGCATCTTTATCAGTTTAGTTATGACAGGTTATATCATCTGGTGGACTCCATGTAATTGGTACTGAGCGTCATGAGTCGCGTCGAATTGACAATCAGGTAAATTTTCTACCCTGTAAGACTCAAGGAAAGCACATTGTTTTCCCAAATATTTGGTCATGTTCCTTGATGTTTATGTCGATTTGTACTATCAATTATGTAATGAGACATGATTATACCAACTATCTCACTGCATCACTTGATACTTTCTACGCAAAGAGAAAAAAACCTGACAATGGGTTTCCTTTTTTAAATCCATCTCATATTCCTTTGTAAGAAGGTTGCTAAGGGGAGAGCAAATGGCTTAAAACCTTTTCATTGTACTTTTTGCATTAATTTGTAATGTTTACTAATTTTTCAAATTTGATTGGTTGACACAATAAACTAACTTCATTACATGGACCCCAATTTAGTTGAGATTAAGGTTGATGATGATGAAGATAGTTTTTTTTTTTGAATTACATACTTTTGTTAAGTAGTCTTTTACTAGATATGAGGGAGTGTCAACTAGTAGTGGCTCCTCAGGAAATTTTGATGTATACAATGCAGCTGCGAGGTAGAAGTGGAAGGCAAGGAGATCCCGGAAGTTCACGTTTTTTCCTTAGCCTTGAAGACAACTTATTCCGTATCTTTGGAGGGGATCGTATCCAGGTTTGGATCTAGTGTTACAATGGGAACCTAAGCATATGTACAGATGCTCCATGCTCGTAATATCATGATGTTACAATGTGCCGAGACATTAATGCTGTCACTCTCTCAGGGGTTAATGAGAGCGTTTAGGGTGGAAGACCTACCGATTGAATCGAAAATGCTGACAAAAGCATTAGATGAAGCTCAACGGAAGGTTGAAAACTACTTTTTTGATATTCGTAAGCAACTATTTGAATTTGATGAGGTCTTAAATAGCCAAAGAGATCGTATCTACAGTGAGAGGAGGATGGCCCTAGAAGCAGATGATCTTCAATCACTTCTCAATGAATATGCTGAGCTGACAATGGATGACATCCTAGAGGTGAAACTCTATGGATTATAACTACTACTATGAATTTTATTCCTAGAGGAATTCAATTTCAATTACATTCACCTTAAGCATGTTATAGGCAAATGTCAGTCCTGATTCTCCAAGAGACGCCTGGGATCTCGAGAAGCTTATTGCTAAACTCCAACAGTAAGTGTGTATTGTGGAGCATTGTTAAAGTTCTAGCAGACAATGTTTTGGGTTTGTAACTTTGTATTTTATAACTCTGATGATGGCTCGATTTGCCTTACCTTAGGTATTGCTATCTGTTGAGTGATTTGACCCCTAGCTTACTGGCTGATAAATGCTCAAATTATGAGGAAATGCGGGAATATCTCAGGTTACATGGTCGAGAAGCATATCAACAGAAAAGGGTAAGTTTATGTTCAATCAGTGCATTGAAGTAGATTACGTTTCAGTGTCGATTCCCTGTGATGGAAATTGATGATTGTATTTGGCTTTAGGGGCTTGTGGAGAATCAAGCTCCAGGATTGATGAAGGAGGCAGAGAAGTTCTTAATCTTGAACAACATTGATAGACTGTGGAAAGAGCACTTGCAAGCACTAAAGTTTGTACAGCAGGCTGTGGGCTTGCGAGGATATGCACAGAAGGATCCCCTAATTGAGTATAAGCTTGAAGGATACAACCTTTTCATTGAGATGATGGCACAAATACGTAGGAATGTTATATATTCTGTCTACCAGGTTAGTGAATCCCACATGCCTACTACTGATTGGGTGATTGGTATGAATGACTGTCCTTGTTATATATGCTTGACTATTTTTCTCTTTTTGCACAGTTTCAACCCGTCATAGTGAAGGAACAAGATAAAATAGCTAGGGAAACAGAAAGTCTCAATGCAAATGAGAAGAGTGAAGATGAAGTTGCTAATAATTCTTCTCCAGCTGCTACGCAGCCTAGTGCACGAGGCACCCAATAAGCATGATCACATCTGGAGGGTACATACGAAATAGATTACTGGTTTTTTTTATTATTGATTAGGGAGAGTTTGGGTGGGTCTGAAAACACTTTCGTGTATTCAAATGCTGCACTGAAAAACAAAATGCAGACATGGATTTGATCCGTCGTGTTCGAAACTCATCAAATGCAAGATTGATGTTTGATTCATCATGTTTGAAACATATGTAATACAACAAGATTGATTGCCTCACCGAGAAAGGAATGCTTGTATTAAAATGCACATCACACTTCATTTTGGGCATACACACTTTAAACGACAAGAAACACATTGATGCCGTGAACATTATCTAGAGTGTGAGTAACTCTAGCTTCAATGGCAGATGATTAATTTAGCGATGGAGATGCAAAAAAAGTTCTTGACGTGCACGCTACGTGGTCCTTTGAAGGTGACTGCTGATGAATTGATTAATGGCGTTTCCTCTAGCCTGCACAACATCAAGTGCAATTTCATATAACAAACAAGGCACACCGAAAATGCTTGTTTATATCTTTAGAAAGAAAATAATGGAAATATACATGCAAAACGAACCTTGACTCCAAGAGCAATTGCAGTTTTAAGTTTAACCACTTCCCCTAACCTAAAAGAGCCATTTTTCTTATCTTTCAAGAGGAGAATAGGTACCCTCCTGGAAGCAGCCAAGCTGAATAGATGCTTGGTCAACCACTTCGGGTTGCAATCTGATGCTAACAGTATGGCCTGAAGTTGAAGATGATGATGAACTGCATCATTGCTATTGTCGTCGTTGTGGCTAACTCTAAGACCATCATCATTTGGGGGCATGCGTTCCAGCACTCGTGTAACTTCATTCACCCCCACTGCCAACTGTTGCTGCTCATTATTATAATATAACCCACAGTCACACACACAGACAAATTAAACTGGTACCCTTTTCCCCTCAGTTCGCAGAAAACCCTAGCCTGGCCATAAAAGTGGTAATTAGGCAACAATCGTAGTAATAAAACCGACCTTAAGCCAGATTTTGTCTGGCAAAGCTCCGTCCATGCTTCTGGCAGACTCTATCTCTCTGTTCAACAGGCAATGTCAATCAATACGATTGCTCTGGTTGCATAAACATCTGAAAGGAAAGAACATAAAAAAGCTTCAAGCAGAGATTCACCTGTCAAAAGCTCTAAGGAAATTGTCCAGGCTTTCACCTTCCAAGCATCTGGAGGAAGAAGGAGAAGAAGATGATGACGATGAAGGGTGGGGGGGGGGGGGGGNNGGGGGTTGCATGAACACAATCCGAAAAAGAAAACAGGCACATATACACAGCTGCTGAAAGTAAAACAAGGTAAAAATTGTATTGGGATTACGATTCTTCTTCTTGTGGATGAGGAAGAGAGTTGGAGTGCGTCCCTCGCTTGGGGTTTGGGGGTCTCGGCATGTTTGAACCCTTCTCTGAAAATAAGCAAGTGTGTCACTGTGTGTGTATATATAGAGTTTCTTTCCCCTGTATAAGTGCGCAGCTTGGTTATCAAACTGTTCTCCCAATTTTTTTAAAGAAAAATTATCAATTTTTTTAAAGAAAAATTATGGTTATCTTTACTATTTGAATTTTTTTTTTATAATTTTTGTGTGTATGAATTTTCATTTATCATTTGACAAAATAAAAAAAATTCACTAAGAAAAGAGATTAAAATAGGAATAAAATATGGAAATTTACCAAAATATGAGCCACATGTTTTTATTCTAAAAATAAGAGTTACAATATTAATAATCTCAACATATATTTATTTCTATATTAATTTATAAATAAAATCAATTTAAAAGAAATGATATTTTGTATGTTGTTAAAAGAATACAATAATTTAGAGATAGAGGAGTAGTACCAATAGTAGGTCGAAAAGGAGTTTGATACTGGACAAATTTTACGGTGGACACAAGGTCCACCATAAGCATATGAGCAAAATAAATTTTTTTACTTAGATAAGCATTTGTTTTTTTAATTTTTTTGTATGAGAAGGTACACAAAATTAGTATGCACTCAAGGTGCACCATGGAAACACTCTTGACACTCATATTCAAAAAAACAATTCTCAATTTCTGTTTCTGATGGAAACATTTCTTTTGTTTTGACAGAAACAAAGAATAAAGACTAAAGTATGAATAGTATATTGAAAATAAACAAAAATAAAAGTTTTATGTTTTTATTTACAAAATAGGACTTAAAATACATTTACAATGCCAATTATGATCGTATACATTACAAAATTATATTATGAAATGATCATATACAATGTTACATTACAACTACGCGAACTCATATTCTGAGAATAGAAACAATTGTCATCTTTCTTTTACGCAAAACACAAACACATGATATTTATCTCATTAAAAATTATGTAAGTTTTTTATTCCAATTATCCCGTACAATATTTTACACTTTTTTTGAACGTCTTGAATAGTTTTTTACTTTTTTTATTTTCTATTTTGACAATAAATATCAAGGTCCGCTTATAAATGAAAAAAATAATAAAGGCCCTGTCCAAAAACATACTATTCTTTTGTTACCTATTTGGTTTTATGTGGAGTACTTTTACTTTAAAATTACTGATAAATTTGATTTTAATTTCTAATTTTATAACACTTTGACTATCAAAATACATATTTATAAATTCAAAAAATTTAATTCTAAAAATATTAAATGAATTTAAAAATGTCAAATAATTAGGGGGTCCCGTGCTGGTGTCCTCTGGGCCGCCTTTGATAAATATGAAGGCCCTTGGGCCGTGAGCCCATGTTAGGGAGTGTGATGTTTTCCAAGGCTAAAATGGTAATCTTATGTGTAACCTAGGGGCATTTCCGTGAGACTGATCGATCATTTTGGTGAACCCGACTGCAAACGAGCCTGAACGGATTTGGCGTGGAAACAAACGCAGTTCATTTCGCGGTTTCCCGCCTCTTCTATTTTCTCTCAGATTGTGCTGTTTACGAGTGACGCCGATCTGGGATTCTATCGGAGATCAGAGGAACGATCGGAGCTTGTCTCGGCAGGTAATGCTTCTGGAACGCTCCATTGCTTTTTTAAAGTGCAGAAACTACGATTCACGCAATTTGGAATAGAGATCTAGATTCCTGTTTTCTTTTGAATTTTGCATTCATCCAACTTTTTATGCAAACATATTTTGATGAACAACCGCATATAGGGGCAACTATTGGTTAATGGGATTATCAGCGTTTGATGATTATAGGAGAGATCACAAATGGGGTGTTTTCGGTGTTTTGAGCTCAAATTTTGAAGCAACATGTCCATATCAATGGAATTAGGCGTACTTTGCTTTTCACTTTCCTGCTGCGCAGCTGATTTTTGTATTCACTGACTCAGAACTGCCTTTGAGTTTCAGGTGCTCCTAGGTTTTGTTGGAATTCCTGTCATTTCTATGTACTTAGACTTGTGGATACTGGATTTGCTCCATGGATCTTGGTCGTGGTAAAAAAATGCATGTAAGTTTGTAAATCAGCTTTCCCAATTTCACCCCTTAAAATGTTTCCCTTTCTTTATCTGCTCATATTCATGGTATACAAAGTTGGTTGGTTTGCATTTAATGGCAGGAGAGCCAGTGCCAGAGCTTTGGAAATAATCCCGATAGATGCAGTCAACCTAGGAAGATATCCATAGGTGTCGTGGTAGATTCTGTTGCAAAATTCAAATGCAAGAATGTAGATGCAGACTATGTTGCAATTCCAGCTGCTGGAGACACAAATTATGGGAAAGGAGACAGCAAAAAAAGAGTGGCGAATCTTGCTTTAGGAAATCAGGGAGAACTTTCATCACATAGTAAAGCTCCAAGGATCTCTACTAGATCCATCCACCCAAACTCTACTTCAAAAGCCATTCATCCTTTGGACCAACCTTCAGATTTGCATGCCACTCATGAAAGGTTCAACACACCAACCAGAACAAAGATAACACCAGGGGCATCTTCAGTTCCTTTTTCAGATTATCAAAATCTAAAATTCCATTCAAAAGAGACAATGGAGATGGGAGGGAATGATTCTGTTGGAGAGATTTCTGGTAAGATTCATTTTACAGTAGCACAGGCAGATATGTCAGTGAAAGCATCTGCCGAGGACAAATCTGAGAGGGCAGGTACAAGGGGCAGTGAGTCTTTGAGAGTGCAGCTACAGAAGATCTTAGAAACGGTTTCTTCACCCACAAAACTTTGCTCAAATTCTGAAGAATTAGATGTTGGTGCAAAAGGTCCTAGTGCAGAAAAAATAGCTACTGAAAATCATATTCCCAAGGCTAGTTCAGATACAATAGAAGATGATACACAAAGTCATGATCCTACTGTTAGGAGGCCGGTGACTCGTTCTTTGAATCGAAGGAGAGCCCCACCCAAATCACAACGGAGGAAGCCAAAGAAAAAAGTCCCCCCTTGTGCTCAGGAGGAAAGATTTGACATGTTCTATTTTGGAGAAAAAAAGGCCAGGGAATTACGTGGTGATGCCACTGGTGGATCCATGATGACACATGAAAGTTTAACAAAGAGAAAGAGTTCAAAGATAGAAGCTCATGATATGTCAACTGGAATGGATGCTTACAAGAAGAAAGAGCAGAATACTAAATGCAACAAAGCGCCATATGCTGAGAGATATAGTGATATGACCCGATCATATGAAAAGGTGAAGAGTGCTTTTGTGGAGCCGAGAGTTGATACTTCAGAAAAATATTTCTACAAGTCACCAGCTGTAGAAAAAGAGACGTCAAAGAGTGTGTTTGTGGAGCCAAGAGTCGATACTTCAGAAAATGATTTCTACAAGTCACCAACTGTAGAAAAAGAGACGTCAAAGAGTGTTTTTGTGGAGCCGAGGGTTGATACTTCAGAAAATGATTTCTACAAGTCCCCGGTTGTAGAAAATGAGAAATCAAAGAGTGGTTTTGTGGAGCCTAGAGTTGATATTTCAGAAAAAGATTTCTGCAAGTCACCAGTTGTAAAACAAACTGAGCAGCTGAGAGACATTAATGGATTGAAATTGCAAGAAAATCTTCACGATTTAGAAAACTTACAACAATCAACCTTGAAGGACTTATGTGACCCAAAACCTGATGTGCAACGTCCTACATTTGGGACAAAAACGCCATTGGAAAGATCTTTTATTGGATCTCTACCAAAAAGCAAAAGGGTAGAATTGGATGAGCATAGTCATACAGAGATAGTGTTTAACCCAAAGAGCTTTCAAAACTTTAAGGGTTTCCAAAGATCAAGGAAAGAAGCCAAATCAAATGGGCAGGATGTCTCATCTGTATCTTTCATTGTCCCCCCCCCCCCCCCCCCCCCCCCCCCCCCCGCACCCCTCACCCAAATCCCCAACCCCAAAAAAGAAAAATACTAGAAAAAAATGAGTGTATGACACACCAGTACCAAACAGTTCTCACTTGTTTGATAAGAGGAAGTGAGGTGTGGGAAAGCAAGAGATATACAAGCTCACATTGTTTTTAACAGGCATGATTTTTGTACATCAAAAGTTGCACACCAACTTGTATGCCACACACCGGCAAATATTTTGTTCTCATAGATATCTGTCTTGTATGTAAAAAAATTGTGTGTGCACATACAAGATGGGCGTATGTGACAACCAAAAAAATGTTGTCCATGTGTGGTAGGCTCATTTTTAACCGGTTGATTCCAGAGTAAGGACTTAGTAGCTAATGTTTAATGATTTACGTTTTGGAAAATAGACAGTAGTATATACACAAGATTACAATAGTGTTTGTCGTTGGTTTCAGATAAAGAACCTGCCCTTAATGGTCATTGGGTGAGCACTTGGCTACTGAATTAATTTCAGCCTCATACAGTCTTGCCGAAATGATACTTTAGTGGATGATGTTTCGTAATATGCTATTGTCTGTCTTTTTTTGCTTCTCCTTAATGATTTTCAAGGATGATGTAGCTGTAATGGAATCTCCTCTTCCTTTCAAACCCAAATCGCTTTTTGGGGAAGACAATCATGTGCTTTTTCAGTCATCACCCGATGATAGGAATTCTGTGAGCTCAGAAGACAGGGTGCATGTTGAAGGTTATTCCATTTCATTTTCGCTTGATGTTCTTTCCTTACTCTGTCCTCTTTGGTTAGATGTTTTATGACATTTTTCATGTGCTTATGCATGCATGTCGGTATCTAGTTTTTAATTGCCAACTGTGACTATTTATCGTATCCTCCCTCTATCCCAGTGTATTTTGCATGTTTTTCTATTTTGGGTTGTCCCAATTTATGTTACCTATTTTCATTTGTAGAAAAACTTTCTCTGGCCTGCATAAAACTCAAGTGAGATTTACACTAAATAGTACTAAAACATGTCTTTTCCCAATGCAGTACCTAAAACTTTTTATTCCCTAAATAGTACTTGAATAATGTCCAGTGGCGATGCCCGGTGGACATTTACTTTGAACAATGCCCGGTGGACATTTACTTGAACAATGTCCAGTAGATATTGAACTATTGTACTACATTGGGAAATTAAAACATATGGTACTACATTGGGAAACTCACTATGTTTTAGTACTATATAGGGAAATCCCCCAAAACTCAACCACAGTTTTTACTTTTTAAATCTATATGCCCAATTTACTAATTTGGAACCAGGTAATAGTAAATTTGCATTTGGTTGGTTCCATTGTATGGACATGTTTTCCTGTCATATTATCGACAGTGGAATCTATTACCTAATGTGTACAAGATATGTCTAAAGTCAACTTGAATTAAAGCTTCCAGTGACTCAGTGAGTAGGTGACCTGGCTTATCAGGTGTAAAAAAGACTTTTTTGTTTGTTATCTTCTGTTGATTAGAAATGGTTGTGTCCCTGTGTGTGAAAGGTAGCTGCTATTTTTCTCTTGTTCATTTCCTCGTAGTTTCCAGATGATAAGCTTTGTTATATGATGTAAATATAGGTTGCAGGAAATCGCCTTCTCTGTCTACTGAGATTGGTACCCCCGACTCCCCCAAGGAAGCAAAGTTTGCAGTCAAACCAAGCAAAGGCTTCTTCAATGAAAAAGGTAGCACTGTATGTAGTGGGTTGAATGTCACCCGAGTTAATTCCAGAAGGCATGTGTATGTGTGTGTATAGATAGGTAGATCAAACCTGACTTGCTATATTAAGTGCGTGCTGTGTTAAATTTCAGAAAATGAAGATATTGAGTCTCCTTTGAGACAGTCTGACACAAGTGAAGAAGATGGGTTCGATAGGTATTTCCTTCATATATAAAAAATGGGTTGAAAGTTTTTGTTGGAAGAGATTTTTCTTCTTTTTTATTTTTTGGAAATTTAACACACTGAAAGTTTCAGGGCTGTCACTTTATTTGCTTTTGCATTACAAAGAGTTAGAAGGAAAATGAAGTCTATGGCTGACAAAAGATCTGCTGAAATTCTGATGTCTGCTGCTGAGGGAATTCAGAGGGAACTGCAGAATGCAGAAATTCAGACTCATGCTGATCTGTAAGTTTGTCGATGATTGATGCACAATTTCAAGGAGCCTAATCCTAGAATCATATGCGACTGATTACCTTGCTTCTCTCTTCTTTTTTTCAGGAGAACACTGACCAGCAAGAGTAAAGCTAATCAAAAGCATTTAGACACCATATTTCAAGGTAATGATCAAAGTTCTCTTCAACAAACATGGTTGTTGGTTTTCCTGCTCATGCACAATTTCGTAATGAAGTAATGCTTTTTCTGTTTGTGTTAAATCAGATATTATTATTGAATGTATCCTTAATGTATCTCCCCCAAAAGCTCCTTATTCTATCCATGTATTGTGACTTACTGACTTGTATGAAATGTTTGTTATAAAATACGCATTAGACACTATTCTTGTGCAATGTGTAAACCTTGAGATTCTTCATTCCTAATCTTGAATTTTCACTTGAATGTGGTGTGGACTTATGGTATAGAGCAACAAGAGCAGTTAAATGCCATTTATGAAAGATTCAAAGAACAGCTCCATCAACATCTCCAGGGTTGTAGAAGCACACTTGAAAGTCTAGAAGAACATGAGAACGAGCTTAAAGCAACAGTGGAAAAGCAAAGTATGTCAAGATCTTTTATGTTGCTTAAAGTATTATTCATTGGCTGTGGAAGCTCATCACACAATGAATGCTTTTGATATGGGTCTTGGAGTCTATCATTATCAATTGCAATTGTCATTCATGGGCATGAACCTTTTTTGGCTTGCCGATGTTGATGTAGAGATATCTGCTCATGTACATAAAGCACAACCATTACTTTATGAAATTGAAAAGTACTTTTTTAAAAATGAGTTGAATCCTGACATGATACCTTTTTGATGTTATAGAAGTATCAAAGATAAAATATCTCTTGCAAGTGGAAGAAAAGATTCAGACTCAGCTTGTTGATGCTGACAGAAGAATTACTGATGTCCACCACGTAAGTTTCTTACACTGCTCATTTTTGTCGATCTACATATTTTTCTGTGCAAGTTCATTTGAACTGGTATGATTTTAAGGGGTATTCTAAATATAAAAAGGAAAAAAACAATATGAAGTGAGTGGATGTGTCGATCAATTATCAATTGCAGTGTTAAATACTAATTCTTCATTACCTGCGGGCAATTTTTAGATTACCTTATCTGAAATATGAAGCTTAATTAAGCATCTTAGGTTTTCATTGCCCCACTTATATTATATCACTGAATTCTCAAAACTTGAGTGCTACTGGGTTTGAATGTTTAGATATCATCTGCACTAGTGTTGCATATATAAAGTAGACACTTGATGAATTGGGCCCCTATATATTCAGTATGTCACAAACATTTTTCTCAATAATTTATTGAAAGTGTTTTATTCTTGAAGTTGGCTAGGGGCAAGATGCATCAATTGAAACTAGTAGTTGCAGAGTGCTTGAAGCTCAGTTGAAGTTTTCTAAAGGGTTTGATAGATGGATGTTATGGTGCAACATCCCCAAGTCAAGCAGCACACATACAGCAAAAGCATATAACACACACACACACACTCTCTCTCTCTCTCAAATGTTCAAATGCTAATTGTCACCTGTTGGGGGGATACTATATATGCATTCCACATATATCTCTTTCAGCAGGTTGTCTAGAGACCAATTGAGTCCTGTAAATCAGCTTTACATCAAACTGTCTTGTTCTCATTGCTAGCGTGAAACGTGTATATGCTTGGCTCGCTTATTTTGGCTTTACATGAAACTTGAAAATTATGTTTGCATGCCGCCGCTGGCTGTTTCTGTTTGGAATATATATATATATATATATATATATATATATATATATATATATATATATGTATGTATGTATGTATGTATATATGTATGTATATATAAAGTGAAGTTTTCTTTAGATGAACGAGAAGAGAAAAAGTAATTTTTTATAAAGAAAACATATGATACACTCGCTCCTATGGACTAAATTGTTCAAACAAACATTCTTAGACGTGTATTAATAAGAAATGTGTGGTTGGGGGATGGGTGGTGTATAGTTTATCCCAAGTTTTTGCATTAGTTTAATATATCACATTTTTAAATTGTGTTGCAAATTTTTTGTGGCGTGAAAGGAATATTGATTCATTCATTTTGTAGACAAGAAGTATTCTACATTGTACAATGGAATTATAAACGTAGTTATTTGTGTAGACAAGTTTTTGCGTTAGTTTGATTCATTTATTGCTTGTCACATTAGCATTTTACTAATTTTTAATTCCGTCTCAAAATCTTATAGGGTCCGTTTGGTATACGGAATTGATGGAATTGGAATTGAATTGAAATTGAAATTCCATGGGATTCAATTCCATAGAATTGAATTCTGCCAATTCCAATTCATTTTTTGCACTATCAATTCCAAATCCACATAATTTTTGTGTTACTAAACACCAGAATTAGAATTGAAGCCCTCAATTCCAATTCCATAGTTTGAATTTCGTGTACCAAACGGGGCCATAATGTTATTGCCCTAAAAACTGGTCTCTCTGTTTCTTTTACATTATTTGTCATTTTTAATTCCATATTTTTATAAAAAATAAAATACATATAGCTAAAAATCTAAAATACAAATGCAAACAATTACGCTCTTTATTTAAAACATCAAAATAAAAAATAAAATACACCAAAATATAATTAAAATTTTTAAAAAATACATCAAAAATTAAAGCTAGAATTAAGTATTCTTACACCTTTAAATTTTTTCAATCAAATCATTCGGGAAGGTAGCATGACTCCGTTTATCGTGCATGCTAATGTGTAAAATCTTAAAAATTGGGAGGTAACCCTTGAGTCACTGGACCTTGGATGACGGATGTCCTAAAAGTAGCTGCGACCCCCTCATCCGGGAGGGTAGCATGACTTCGTTTATTTTTTAAAGAATTTAAAAATAAAAATTACATAATAAAATTACACATCAAAAGATCTACAAAATTAATGGTGATATTATTATTTTATTTTATCAAATGGCTAACAAAAATAGAAAAAGAGAGTGAATAAAATTTGACCATATGAATAGTAAACACGCAATTTGATGTAATCTTTAGATATGTAAGTGATTCGTTCTATAATTGAAACATGCCATAGAGTATCCCATGGAATATATCTCAAAGTGTAAGCCAAAATTATGCACTAATATTTCAATAGTTTACGGTGACACAATATGCTCGTATGATCAAAAAATTTGCATTAAAATTTTGTGAACTATTGAGAATAAAACATAATACTCCGTAGTATTCTTTCCCGCTGGGAGAATACTACTCCCTCCGTCCCAAATTATTTGTCACATTTCTATTATCGAAGTAAAAGATCAGGTTTTTTCAATTCATTTTATTTACATATTGGTAAAGAAATAAAAAATAAAAATTACATATCAAAAAACTACATGAAAAGTTCTTTAAAATAAGAGGTGTCAAGAATATTTTATTTTATCAAATAACTAATGAAAACATAGAAATAAATAAATGTTCTCGCGACTGTTAAAAAAACAAATGTGGCAAATAATTTGGAATTGGTATTATTCTTTCTAGCCGACAATATGTAGTTTAGCAGTGTTGTCCTCAGTATATCCGATCCGAATCCGAAAGGAGTGGAGCAGTCCGTACAATTTTGGAGGGGGGGGCACCATCTAAACCATCATCCTTTCCACGCGTCATCAGTTGCTTCTCTTTTGAGACGGCAGTATTAATTTGGAGTAATTCGCAAGGAAAAATGGAAGCGAAATAAATCAATCAAAGAAGAAGAATTTGATTTGACTCTGAGTTGCTTAGAACTGCAAAAAGGGGGGCGGGGGGGACGATGTCAATACCCAGGGAGCTGGAACAAGTGATTAAGCACAGAGACGGATCCGTGCTGGGGAAAAGGACTATCCTCAAGAGTGACCATTTTCCTTCCTGCCAGAACAAACGCCTCTCTCCTCACATCGATGGCGCCCCCAATTACAGAAAGGTTTAACTGTGTTCTTTTTTTTTTTTTAAATCATCCATCTCTTACTCTTTTTCTTCCCGATTTTTTCACTAACCAAATTATTAGGAAAACTTGTTTTTGCAATTGACTATTTTTGACCCAAATTTTACTAAACCTAAACACCCAATTCCAAAGTTTTGAATGATACTCGGGCAACAGAATTGAATGGAGAGTTTTAAAGCACAAATACTTTTAGTATGCTTTTGCGTCCATTGACAATGCAGCTAAAAGAGTCATTTGTTTACAAAATGACTGATTAAACTTCAATCGCTTCTTACTGTTCATGAATTTCGGCGTCCATTGACTACATGTTTTGTTTGATGATATCATAGTAAAAGGATAAATGGTCCTCACTGCAGACATTGAACTTAAAAATATCAAATATCTAACACGTAGGATTGTTTGCCAGACTCTGATCTTTGTACAATGTCTCTCATTGTGTTTGTATTCGAGTAGTATTACATTGTTGTATTACCTGTATTACATTGGTTCCATATTTCGTTTTGGAAAGTGAAGGCAGTCATTTTGTTTCTCACATTTGAAATGTGTTTAATGAACCAAGCCTATTTGTTTGATCCATGAATAGACCTGTCTATATGCTACCGAGTACTGATTTTGGTACTTATTGTGGATTCATGTTTTCTCTTCACATTAAAGACTTAAATTTCATTACAGATGCATTTTGATTTACATTTAGAAGATTTAAAGCCTCTAAGAGATGTTAACTCACACTTGTTGCCTTGCTCATAGTCGTAAGGCAGCATTCGGTTCCATTTATTTGATTCCTGCTGCTTTGTAATTCTCCGTCTTGTTGATGGAATTTAAAATTATTTAAGATAAACTTCTAAGTGTTCCCTGACTATTATTATAGGCTGATTCTCTGCATGTTCACGGTGTTGCTATTCCAACCATTGGCGGTATTCGAAATGTTCTTGACCACATTGGAACTCAGATAGATGGGAAGCAGACTCGTATCCTCTGGATTAATCTCCGCGAAGAACCGGTAACATGCTTTTATTATACTCCCTCCGTCCCAAAATAAACTTCACACTTTCTATTTTTGTTGTTACCCTTTAATTTGGGACGGAGGAAGGTCCCTAGCCAACTTTGGGTTTGGGGGAAGTTATTTATTACCCTTTAATCTTTACACCAATAGTATCTTTAGGTATATTTCCTTATAGTTTTTTTTGTCCATTTTGAATGTGTTTTTGTTTGTGGATGAGCTCAGTCAATAAATGTTGCATTTATTATTCTCTCCACTGGTGAAACAGGTTGTGTACATTAATGGACGCCCTTTTGTTCTGCGTGAAGTGGAGAGACCCTTCTCTAACCTTGAATATACGGTATGTTCACAGGAAATTTGTTCATTTTGAATTTAGCTTATTTAGAGATGTAATTTCAAATGGTTAGCTAAATTGGGTGCAGATAATCATGTAATGATGTATACCAAAACTGAAATTTTTAGATGTTTCAATTGTTATTAGGTTAGTAGGTCATATTTTAACTGATTGTTTAAGAAATTAATATATTTATATAAATTTTGAGTTAACTGGAACAATCTATGGTCACTTGACTGCTGTATATTTAAGTATTTTTCTTCAGTAAACTGTACTTAAAAAGTTACATAATATGTTATCAGAAGACAAGTACTTATAAAAGTGGTCAGAGGCTGGAGTGATTTGAACTTGTTTTGTCACTGAAGTTATAATGATGCTCGTTTGCGTACATATGAAATAAGATGTTTGCTGTAATCATATATAAAGCTTGAATTGCATGGCTCTTTTATCTTCCATGTTGTGGGATTCACGTATCTTCTTTCTTGGAGCTTATGCTTTCATATTAACCTAGGGCATTAACAGGGTGAGGGTGGAGCAAATGGAGGATCGATTGAAAGAGGATGTCCTGATTGAGGCTGCAAGGTTGACCATCGATATTCCTTATCTAGCTTATTCAAGTTTGCCCAACTTTTCTGTTACAGAAGCTATGATTTACAGGTATGGAAATAAGATCCTTGTAACTGATGAACTCCCTGATGGTCAGATGGTGGATCAATGGGAACCTGTGACACGAGATTTGGTTAAAACACCTTTGGAGGTTTGTCACTAAACATTTCAGATACTTAATGTAAGAATGGCAATGATATCTAGTAAATCATCATATATCCACCATAATCTCTCTTCAAATGCAGGTGTATGAGGAGCTACAAGCACAAGAGTACCTTGTCGACTATGAGCGTGTTCCTATAACAGATGAAAAGCCTCCCAAAGAGTTGGATTTTGATATTTTGGTCTGTACTCCATATCAAACTTTTGGGCTGTTCTCCATTCACTTATCATACATTAATGATTTAGCATTTGTTTGGTTGCCAACTATCATTATGTTTCTCACTTAGATGAGTGCCTGAGTGGTAAGTGAAAATTATCTAGTTGCGGAGTGTTAAGTGGTAAGTAGATAGGGATGGGTGTTGGTAAATGGGGGTAATGATGGTTAAGTAGTGGAGTGCAGTCCATACTCTAATACGGAGTATATTTCTATTTATTTTTCATCAATATGTAAACATTTATAAATATAGATATAAATCATTATAGTTGGACATATCTATATAGTGTGTGTTTCTCTGTGCTTATAAGCTGGTCAAAACTGCTTATAAACAATTTTTAACTTATAAGTCAGTTGATGACATGTTTAAAACCTTCTTATAAGCTGCTTATAAGCCAGAAAAAATCAGTAGGTCTTACCTACTTATTTTTAAGCCACTTTCATTTTTTCGTTTTGACCATCTTATTTATAAAGTTGTTCCTCACCATTTATGAATATTTGCAAATGACCTATTTATCATTTAAGTCATTTTAATTCTACGAAAGAATATTTGGCTTATAAGATAAAAACTGCTTATCAACAATAAGCACCAGCTGAATCCATGAACAGAATCTATCTTCGATTTTAATACATGGTATCAAACTTTCAGGTTCATAAAGTGTCTCAAACTGATATAAAGACAGAAATAGTGTTTAATTGCCAAATGGGACGTGGGCGTACTACGACTGGAATGGTGATTGCTACTTTGGTTTTTCTTAATCGTATAGGAGCCTCTGGTACTTATCACATCTATCCATGAATTTCTAACTAATTAGTCATCCTCCGTATTTGTACATTTAGGCAATTAGGCATCAGTGCTGCAGTGCATCACCCTTATTATAATAATAATAATAATTGTTTTTTCTATTTGTACTCTTAAACTTCATTTTTTCAACACATTGAGGCATGTTGCCAATTTAAATGTTCATTTGCTAAAATGTTGTCTTAGTTTATTTATAAATTGCTACTCTAAATTATGTGCTTTATTCTTTAGTGTCTTTTTAGTATAGACCCTTGAATGTTGTAGCCAGTTTCACTACAGTTAACCTATGTATATAGAACGACAACCTAGCAAGTGGGGACCTTACCCCTACCCAGCAGGTAGAGAGGCAGTAAACCTAGGTATATATAGGCACATAATAGGATATAAGCATATCTAGATTTTGTTCTAATAATTCATCATTCTGTGCCAGTTTGTTGCGTGTGGGACGATTGCAAGTTAGGTCTCAAACATGTATGCTAGGTCCTACTGTTATCAAACTCTTCCCTTAAGTTGGAGCATGTAGATCAAATATTCCAAACATGTTATAAATATAGGCAGTCCAGGTATTTGAAGAGATTCAGAGAGCCAGCATTCCAAGTATGTTTCAAACCTATCACTTTTTTTAAAGACGGGACACTCCAACACTCCCCTCAGTTGGACAACACCTCTTGTGTAGGGTCTCAACCAGTTTCAGGGCTACTGGCAGTGTTGCTTTGGTCAACTACTCACCCGAATTAGGTCTGGAATGAATCAGAAGTTACGGAACATTGTCAGCTGAAAAAATACTGATTTACTGGAAGAATGGCTATCGAGAGATGAAGCTTAGGATGGTTCTGCTACCATTTTTTATAAAAGAAGATCACATTCTATTAAATGTGTTTATCAAGATTAAATGCCTTAATGCATACACATAGACACATAGTCAAGGGTTAAGTTTTAACTTTTAGTTATTTTTTTATCCTTTAATTTATGCACCACAATTAGGGTTAATTTTAGCTTCTAGTAATCCACACTAATAATGTGATATAGGTATGCTAGATGTATGCTAAGACCTATATTTGTATTCAACACTTAACTAGTTCAAAATTACCCTGTAGAAATTACAAGAAGGAAAAATTCAAGTGTGGAAGGTTCACAACCAGACCAACAAGAACATTATATAAAGGGCTTTCATGGATGATAATGGTTCTGTGGATGCTTTCGCTACCTTAATAGTCCATGTGTTAGGGGTGGTTTGACATTGAGCACAACTAATTGTTCGTCTGGAAGTCCATGCCCATCGATTCGTGGTCCTTTCAGTGTTGACACTTTTGATCCTTTCATTTCCCGGGGAGGGGGGGTCCATTTGCAAGTGGTCAATCGGATATATTCAAAATGGCCCGGTTGTCCACTTGAGGGGGAATGTTAAAGAGTATCCCACATCGGAACTTGAAGAGAAAATAAATCAGTATATAAGCTCTTGAGTTGAACTAAGTAATCGATTGGATTTAATCTCTTAATGTGATTCAAGTATCTTATGGCCCAATCCAGTAATCCCTACCTCATTCTAAGTTCTATCAAGGATAAATTGCCTTCGATATTGCTTCTTCACATTTCTTTTCATCAATCATCTTATCATATCTCTTTGTGCTACTGCTTTTTTAACTTTTTTGTTGCTGACCTGTTGCAATGATGATTATCTTTCTTTATTTGTCTCTCCTATGTTGTGACAAATGTATTAATGGGAGTATGGTTGCCATGACTAGAGTTGGTAAATCAGTCGGTTAAGTTGGGTTCAAGTTTGGTTACTTAGGGTTCATGGCTGTATGTTCATGACTAGTGTTATCAGGTTTAGATTGACCTAACGGGTTATAAGCTTTAGTTTTTGAATAGTTAAATTCACACAATCACTTGTATTTTACAGTAAAAAAATCAAAACATCAAAGTACCAAAAACATTTATTTTTACTTAATTTTTAGATATATAGAGCAATATTATAAATAATGTAAATAATTTAAATAAGTAAATATTTTTAAAAAAGTAAGATAACAATATGGTTCCATTAGAAACTCGTTTAGAAAGAAAAATTTATACACTAAAAACGAGTAATAAGAAAGACCACCATTTCCGCCAGCCCCTAGATCTGGAAGAAAGACCACCATTTCCGCCAGCCCCCACCACCACCGACTGCACCACCTTCGCCCCTAGGAAGAAAGACGGAGGAGAAAGAAGAGAGGAAGGAAAAAGGAGAAAAGAAGAAGAAGAAGTGGATGAAGAGAGAAAATAAAAGAACGGGAGGAAGATAAGAAAAAAAGGAAGAGAGAGGAGAAACGGGGGAGGGGTAATTAGGGCATTTTATGTGTTAGAATGTGAAATGGAAAGATCTTTCCCGGACAAAAAGAAAGGCCACTTGGGTAGAAGCCGGTAGATCTATCCTGGAGGGCCAGACGGAGGGAGTATTAAAGTCCATGATTTTGAAAAACCCTTATTTTAACGGGTTTGGGTTTTGTCGGGTTTGAACCATTTTTAGCCGGTCATTTCAAGTTGCGAGGTCTAGCCATGACCATAAGACCATCATCTATTCTCCTCGAACATGAGAATTTGTTTTCTTGTTCTCCCTTCTTTTCTCATCTTGTTAATACTTCCATTGGTTTTCTAGTTTTTCATGGTTCCATTGCTATCCCAAATGCAATATAATTATGTAAACAATATAGGAACTCAAACTTTGACCTAAAATATTCACGCTAGGGTCTAATTAGAACTTGTGTCGTCTATATGCTTCTACAATGTTTCATTTCTTGACTAACTTGCCGAATAGTTTTCTCTCTATCAAGTTCTGCAATTTGCCTCTTTATTTTTATGAGGATAAGGAGTCAGTATACATCCATAGAGTTGTTTACTTACTGATTACTAATAAAGAACATGTCTAGCTTTTCTCAGATCTCTTGCTTAATTAAAAAATTAAGAATGATTCCATACTTAAGATGTATGAGTTCAACAGGAATTCCGAGGACAAATTCAATTGGCAGAGTTTCCAGTTATGGGACCAATGCTAGTGATACAATGCCCAACTCGGAGGATGCATTTCTTAGAGGAGAATATACTGTTATTAGAAGCTTGATTAGAGTTTTGGAGGTGGGAACACGTCATCAGCTTTAACGTCCATGTTGTGATACATAGAATATCTCATTTGAGTGTGCTGATCAGAACTCTACTTTCAGGGTGGCATTGAAGGCAAAGCACAAGTGGATAAGGTCATTGATAGATGTGCCTCAATGCAGGTAAGGGTATCCTCAAAGCCTTTCTGATTAGAATAGGTTGTACAATTTCATTGAGTTGAAGGGTATACAACTTGTAAAACTGCACTTCCCTTCATGTTATTCCTTCATATGTGTTTTTTACTTTTTATTTTATGAATTTAGAAATATATTGTTAGGTTTTAGTCAAGTGTGGTATGACACTATTATGACTTTACAATAGAAAAAACCATTACCATCTGGCTTTATGAATAAAATTTCCATGATATTTAAATTCCATCAGTGACTGATAATATGAGGATTTCATTGCAGAACTTACGTGAAGCTATTGCTTCTTATCGGAATAGCATTTTGCACCAGCCTGATGAGATGAAGAAGGAAGCATCACTTTCATTTTTTGTGGAATATTTGGAAAGATATTACTTTCTTATTTGCTTTGCTGTATATCTCCACACAGAACGAGAAGCACTTCACCCTAGATCTTCTGGCTGGAGCAGTTTTACTGACTGGATGAGAGCAAGGCCAGAGTTGTATAGTATACTTCGCAGGTGAGATTGAATTCTATTCTACATGTTTCAAGATCCACCTTTCCTTTGATTTAAATGGACACACTTCTATTTGAAATGCCTGTATTCCTAAATTGTTGAATCTACATGCATGATATAATATGCTAGTATATCTAGACATTGTTGGTAAGTGGAGAAAACGAGACCAGTTTTTTTAATCGAATTGTGCACAACATCCATCAGGAAGATAAGTTATATTCTAGACACCTCTTTTGTTCACAATGTTAGGGTTTACTTGATTTAGAAGAACTTAAAAAAGATAAAAATGGGGTAACATTGATAGTTTGATACAATACTAAATTGCTATGGCAATGAGGCTTATGCCTAAGTAGGATATTGCACAAGACTTGGCATAATGCTTGGTAGGTTGCACATCATTGCTAGTATCTCCTAAAAGGCCATGAAGCAGGCCTCACTGCTACCAAAATTTCAAATATTGTGTCAGTTGTTATCATATATATATATATATATATATATATACATATACATATATATATATATATATATATATGTATGTATGTATGTATGTGTGTGTGTGTGTGTGTCTGAAAGGTGAAATGTGTTCTCATGTACTTGTTTAACTTGAAGCGATTTCTATCATGTGCATGCACACACACACACACTCTCTCTCTCTCTCTCATGTGCTTGCATGCACATTTCTGTCAAAACTTCACAATGTTAGATTTAATTGTATTGTTTAATTCCTGGTCAGAAGTTAGTTAGTTTAGATTTAGATTTTAAAAATAAAAGGGACAGTTATGGGTAGTTATTTCTGGAAGTTATAGGTAGTTATTTCTGGAAGTTGTATTAGTTAGTAATAGATGTGTTGATTAGTACCAATAGTTGTGTTGGTTGCTGTCTATAAATATTCCAGGAACATAGGATTCCTATATGTAGTTCACAATAAAATAACCACAATTCTATTCTGTATTTGATATGTTCTTCCTGTCATTTTTCTAACACACAACATAATATTTTTTGAGACTCTAAAGATGAAGAACAATGAGTCACTTGATGATTTTGCTGGTAAAACTAGTCAACTTGCAACACAAGCAAACAACCTTGGGTCTGCATTAGAAGACAAAAGATTGGTTCGAAAGCTTTTGGGTTCTGTACCTGAAAAGTTCATACAGATTATTGCTGCAATTGAATAGTTTGCAGACATTAACACAATGCCGTTTCAAGAAGCGGTTGGAAGATTGAAAGCACTCGAGGAACACATCAAAAAGCCAACTGAGGAAGGAGATACACATGGTAAACTACTATTCACTAAAGGTGATGAAAAAGAGAAGGTTTAGGAGCACAAATGTGAGCATTGTGGTAGCTGGAGCTCAAACCAAGAAGACTTTGGACGTGGCCGAGGTAGAGGTCGGGGGTCCGGGAAAGGTCAGGATGGTGGTCGGTTTCAGCGGGATAAGAGTCACATTAAGTGTTTCAAGTGCAATGAGTTAGGGCATTTTTTGAACGAATGTCCAAAATGAGATCAAAAGGAAGACATTGCAAATTTGATTGAAGATGATGATGAACCAACGTTATTGTGAAGATTGGTGTGAACAAACAACGATTAGGGGGTGATTGTTAGATTTGATCGTATTGTTTAATTCCCGGTCAGAAGTTAGTTAGATTAGATTTAAATTTTAGAAAAAAAACGGACAGTTATGGGTAGTTATTTCTCAAAGTTATAGGTAGTTATTTCTGGAAGTTGTATTAGTTAGTAATAGATGTCTTGATTAATACCAATAGTTGTGTTGGTTGCTGTCTATAAATATTCGAGGAACATAGAATTCCTGTATGTAGTTCACAATAAAAAATCACAATTCTATTCTGCATTTGATCTGTTCTTCCTCATTTTTCTAACACACAACATAATATTTTTTGTATTATATACCTCTATATAAAATGGCATGTATTCTCTCCAAACATTCTCTCTCTCTCCCCCCCTCTCTCCATCTCTTTTCATATGTATTCAACAGGTATACTTCTGTCACATTTTTTAAACTTGACATTCTGTAGGTTACTGAGAAGAGATCCAATGGGTGCACTAGGTTGTGCAACCCTGCAACCTCCACCTGCAAAAGATGAGGAATCCACCAATGGTCGCCCTTCTGAGATGGGCCAAGTTGCTACTTTAAGGAGTGGAGAGGTTCTTGGAAGTCAAACTGTTCTTAAGAGTGACCATTGTCCTGGTTGTCACCATCCTAGCTTGCCAGAAAGATTGGAGGGTGCTCCTAATTTTAGAGAAATCCCTGGATTTCCTGTCTATGGTGTTGCAAATCCAACTGTAAGTGGGATTCTATCTGTCATTCAAAGGATTGGTAGCTCCAAAGGTGGCCGCCCGGTATTTTGGCATAATATGAGAGAAGAGCCAGTTATATACATCAATGGAAGGCCCTTTGTGCTCCGGGAGGCTGAAAGGCCCTACAAAAATATGCTGGAATACACGGTACAAATCTGCTGTTTGAGTGTTTGATATCTGGATAAGTATAGTAACTGGGATAATCGCGTGCTATTGTATGCACAATCTGATAAGATCATTGGCTCGTGGCAACCATTGATTTGTTTCACACATGTTTAAGATAATATGCTTGGTGCGGCTCTTATAACATGCGTGTGGTGTGAGACCTTATATGATAGCATAACCTTTTCCTTGATCAACGGGGTGCAGTGTGTTATTGCCAAATGCCAACTGTTGGTTCTAGCTCTTGAAGCCATTCTCAAAACAATTAAGGTTGCATAGATATTTTTTTAACAGGATCTGCACGATGCAGAATTTCAGATAGGAGGCTTGCATGCTAGGGGCAAGTGTATTATATCATACTTCGTATGATTTTTATTTTCCTTTGGAGACTAGTCAAACAATTGTGTTTGCAATTACTTCAAAACTGTTCCTTTTTTCTCTATATCCTTCTATGTTGCTTGCATATTTTTTGAATATACAAGTTGAAACTGTGGTGGTCCGATTTTATGATATATCTTAAAGGAAGTCTGTTGGAATTTTTTCCTTGAATGATTCAAATATACCTAAAATTTGTCATTTATGTGCATGCATGGTTTTAACTTCAAAGTTCTTGTGCAATAAATGCAACTTCTAGGGAATTGATTGTGAGAGAGTAGAGCGAATGGAAGCTCGATTGAAAGATGATATTATGCGAGAAGCTGAACGTTATCATGGTGCTATACTAGTTATTCATGAGACAACTGACGGGCAAATATTTGATTCTTGGGAGCATGTGAGTTCTGATTCAGTTCAGACCCCATTAGAGGTCTTTAAGTGCCTGGAGGCTGAGGGGTTTCCGATCAAGTATGCACGTGTTCCTATTACCGATGGAAAAGCTCCAAAAAGTTCCGACTTCGACACATTGGCATCAAATATTGCTTATGCTTCTAAGGATACTGCACTTGTCTTTAATTGCCAGGTATCGTCATCTTATACTTCCTCCATCCCAAAATAATTGCAACACTTGTAGTTTAATGATTGTCACTGCACAAAACTAATCAGTTATACCTTCAATCATGTTTTGGTAAAAGTTATAAAAAACTGGTATTTTGAGAGATTATAATGAGACAAATTTAACAAGTTTCTCATGATTATATTTATTCTTAGTTTCTCATGTACCTTGCATCATACCTGGTCTTTCATGATTCAACCAAGCATATTGAGACCGGTTTTTCCCTAGAAAAGATATGAAAGACATGATTTCTAATTGATATGAAGACTGGGGAACAACTTGCGAGATTTATTTAACTTAATAAGGTTTTTAGTTATTATAACCCTACTCTTAAGGTTTATCACCTCCCTAACCCTAGATTGTGATTATAAACAGGAGCTTTATTTTGCCCAATAGACTATTACTTTTCTTATATGATAAAATATCTGTTCTAGTCTATCTATCAATCTCTTTCTCTCTCTCTCTCTCACACTCACACACACATACTGATTTATTTATATATTTAAAAATGATAGCTATTTATTTATGAAGGTACACATTTATATGCGCGCACTAAACATAGTATATATGTGTTTAAATGGTTGAAGCACTTTCTCTAGGTGTATGTGGTGTGTGTAGGCACACCACACAATGTACATAATACACATAAATATGTCATTCTGTTCTATTATTTACATTTATCATGCATTAACTCTCTTCTCAGATGGGGATAGGAAGGACAACCACCGGGACTGTAATTGCTTGCCTTTTGAAACTGCGTATTGACCACGGGAGACCCATCAGAATATTAAAGGATGTATTGCACGAGGATTTGAGTGGTGGTATTTCAAGTGCTGATGAAAAGGATGTTTCTGCTCCTCCATCTGCACCGTTTGCTTACAAAACAAGGCCCAAAAAAGATTCAAGTCGTGAATTTGGGATAGATGACATCCTGTTATTATGGAAGATAACCAGGCTGTTTGACAATGGGGTAGAATGCCGTGAGGCCTTAGACACTATTATTGATAGATGTTCTGCTTTGCAGAACATTCGCCAAGCTGTCCTGCAGTACAGAAGGTTATTTAACCAGCAGCATACTGAGCCTAGGGAAAGAAGAGTAGCATTGAATCGTGGTGCTGAATATCTAGAACGCTACTTTCATTTGATTGCTTTTGCAGCATATGTTGGGAGTGACGCATTTGATGGATTCTGTGGGCAAGGAGAATCAAGGACAACATTCAAGCATTGGCTGCAACAAAGGCCAGAGGTTCAAGCTATGAAGTGGTCTATTAGATTGCGGCCTGGGCGGTTCTTTACAATACCTGTAAGTTGTAAGCCGATGTCTGAGTATCTCATGTTTGCTCATAGGTTTCTCTCGCTCCCTTTTTACTTTGTTGCACTTTTACTTGCAGGAGGAACTAAGAACTCCACATGAGTTGCAACATGGAGATGCTGTCATGGAGGCTATTGTAAAAGATCGTAATGGTTCAGTTCTGGGAAAAGGGTCTATTCTTAAGATGTACTTCTTTCCTTGTCAGAGAACTTCAAGTCACATACAAATCCATGGTGCTCCTCATGTATTCAAGGTACTCATGAATCATGATATGTACTGCTTATTGTACTTTTTTTAGACGAGTCATACCTCCTCAGGACCTTTTAGCTAGATCTCTCTCTCTCTCCCCCCCCCCC